TATATATATATATATATATATATATATATATATATATAGAAGCTAGATCATCAGAGTTCCCTAAGGCAGGTATTCGCTTTTAATCAACACATGGGCAAACTCTACAAGACATTTCGAGAGAATTAACTTCTAGAGGCTTCTAACAGAATCTCTGGCGCGGAATGAAGCGGAAGCATGAAAAACACTTGGGATCACACGCTGAGTGTCTGCTCGTCATCCCAAATCCCCGGAGTACACCACATTGCTCTAGTCGTATCCCCCGGGGAAAAGAGCGCCCACGGCTCTGCATTTAGAGAGAAAAGGGAAGCCGGCAAGAATGCGCGTTCAGTTCCAACTGGTTCCTCCAGCAGCATCCATCCAAACAATAACACGGGTGAGAAAACGAGACGGTTACGAAGCATGACTTGGCAAACACACAGCACCGTGCCTATCACTGACTCACAACAGATCCTCGAAGCCTCGGCTAACGGATTAAGTAAACACAGAAATAAATGCATCTTTTTTTCTTTTTAAAGAAAGCTTGTTTTGAACTCTCTTTTACCATAAGATAAGCTGGGGAGTTTATTCAAGAATTTGCTGAGAGTCATATCCTTATTTTTCACGCTTCCAAGGTTCTTCCTCAACACCGCCGTCGGCCGACTTTCCGTTGGCTGCCAGAGTTACCTGAAAATAATCACCATCAACATCCAGCTTACAGGCCACGAACCAGAAAACCACCCCGTGGGTTATGTGGAGAAGCACGAGATCCGAGTTACACTACATGACTTACATGTTGGTTTCAAATGTGGTTCTTTCCAAATTGATTTTGAGCCCGTCTTGCTTTTCGACACTGATTTGTAAATGGTGAAAAGTACATATTTGCCTTGGGGAGTACAGAGGAACTGGAGAGAGTCTGCAATTTGGGACATGAGTTCTACTAATGCTTTCAGGGTGGCGGGGGCGTCTAGCTACACATAGACCCATCAGAGAATAATGCAGCCCTTAAGAAACAGTGCCCTTGTGCTACTCCATACAACCAGAGAAAAATCCAGAACTAGACAGCTAGTTCTACTCATGCACAGCTAGTGAAGGGTTCAGTTGCCATGAGGCCGGGTGGAGTTTATACACGTCCAGTTTCGAAATCAGAAATCATGATGGCGTGGATACCAGGTAGGCTATCCAGGCTTTAAAAATCGAGAAGAAAAGGGGAATTAAAAGCCAGACGTCCAAATTATTTCCAAATTATATCCAAATTATTCCCATGCAGGCATTTTTTTTTTTAATTTTTGTTTTTCAACGTTTATTTATTTTTGGGACAGAGAGAGACAGAGCATGAATGGGGGAGGGGCAGAGAGAGAGGGAGACACAGAATCGGAAACAGGCTCCAGGCTCTGAGCCATCAGCCCAGAGCCCGACGCGGGGCTCGAACTCACAGACCGCGAGATCGTGACCTGGCGGGGCTCGAACTCACGGACCGCGAGATCGTGACCTGGCTGAAGTCGGACACCTAACCGACTGCGCCACCCAGGCGCCCCCCCATGCAGGCATTTAACAATCAAGTATAACCACCAGAGTGTCTCTATTATGCTTCCCTGGCTCGAAGCGAACTGAACCCTCACACAGCGTGGGAGGTATTCCCCTCCACTTCTAAATCATTTTCCTAGCTTACCTTCCATCTGTCTGTCCTCAACGTCATGTGCAAACTTAAACCCACGACTGATATTCCACATAATGGAGAGACTGGATTTATGGAAGCATTAGGATATGGAGACATGACAAACGCAGCAATGTTTGAAAGAAATCGGATCTTCTTAACCCGAGAGGCAGCGAAACGCATGCGTTAGGAACACACACTACCATGCTAGGAACAGAACACAAGTGCCCTTCACAAACCGAGCGAACGAAAACAGAAGCCATTCGTTTCTCCACCCCCCAGTGGGCGCCCATAGTTTTCTAGAAAGACCATGCAACAAGCCATGACCACCCCACATGCAGTTATTCTGATGACAATTAAAAAGCTCTCACGTAACTTCCAACTACAAGGACAAGGCAAGAGTTTGAAAACAGCAGACACCAACATGACGTAGCAACGCTCGAAGTGGTTAACATTTTGACCAGAGCTCCAGCAAATTTGTTTCCCCTTCAGTGAACTCTCAGGAAAGACTGCCAGGAACAAACTGTCTGCCTGGAGAAAGCTGCCTGTTCGCTCTGACCTTGAATGTGCCTATTTGGCTTTCCGTGATGAACCAGATCAATAGCTGTACAAAAGTATAAATCATGCTGTGCGGCCTCTGGAACACCAGGCCGCACTGGGGGGTGTGCCCTGCTGTGGCCGTCACTGTTGTTGAATACTGGGGCCTGTGTTTCAAAAGTGGCCGGGACAGCCCCTTTTTTGGCATTTCTTTTTCTGAGCCGGTTCAAGGAAGCCAGGACTCTAACTCCCCGGTTCATCCCACCCTGCTCTGTTCCAACCACCTGGGTAATAGAAAAGCAGGAAGGGGAGGGGGCTGACAGGAAGCATTGACGTCTCCCATCTTGGTTTTTAAAACAGTGAGACGGAGAATGGACCAGAAGGAAGTTCAAAGGCAGGAATAAATGTGACTCAGATATTCCGGGAGAGTGTGCAAATTCATCTTGATGGCTCTGGCTGCCTCCTCTCGTGCATCAGTGGCAACTCAGTTTCGTTGGTCTAGGTGGGAAGAGGTGCTCGCCTCACCTCGCGAAGGCCGAGGCCAACTAACCTTCGGTGAGCCGAACCCAATGACTTCACTAAAAAATCCAAACGGCCAGATAGTTATTAAACCAACATGGCCATTCGGTATGTCCCTGACCTGCTCAGTGTCCTTTCGACCATGTAAATGCTAATTCACCAAGTTTGCAGGTGGTTGGGTAGGCAGTCAGTTATAGAGACGGACTAAGCCAGTATCTCTACAGAACTGGCCAGCAACAAGGTTGTCTGAAACAAAGCACAGGGTCAAGATGCTAAAAGGATACATACAACAAATATTTATAGAGCGCCTACTGCATGCCAGGTACTGCTTTAGGTGCTGGGATACAGCAGTGATAAATGCGGAAACAGGGTGGCTTGCTTCCTAGTGATAGGGACAGTTCACAAATCTCTTCCTTTAGGGGGCTTGAGTTGTTCTTGCTCTAAGAACATAGCAAACTTCTCCTAATGTCCTTTAAGAAAAAGAACCCAGGAAGTCTGAAATCTAAATGTATCTCCATATCTATATACCATCTTTTTCAAAACATGTCCTTCTAACACTATTAGGAAGCCTCTTGAGAAGCTCCAAAAGAGCCACACCACAGGCAATTAGTCACTACGATTCTTCTTACATATAATTGCAAAATGTAAAAATATATGGTGATTTCACTTTATTTGATGCTATTCTTTTTCCTTGTATGGCAGTAACTTGGAATCAACCCTTCTCTTTCCTACAAAATGGTACATTCACTTTTCTGTCCTCCCATTGCCTATTTCAGGGCTTTGCAGATAATGGGCACTCAATAAATATCTGATGAATGATCAAAATACAGGAGGTCACAGGAATGAGATGCTTAACTAAACCCCACAAGGCACACAATAAATACTTGTTAAATAGAGCACAGAGCCATTTCATGAGAATGTGGACCCTTGTTGACCCAAATTTTGACGGGGAATAATCCAGCACATTCATCTAGACGTGGGAAGAGCTAACTTCCTAGGAGAATGGAATATGCGCTTTAGAGACATCTGAATTTCGAATAATTTGAATCATTTTCGCTGAGTCAATTAGTTTTTGCAGCTGCTCTTGATGGCTAAGTCCTTCCTTAATTTGTACCAGAGCCTTGGTTCACCCACACGTGTACCCGGTAGAGAGGGGATGAGCAAAAGACTACTGCTGGCCCATTAGACTTCTGGACCTATGTTACAATCCAGTAAAGAGAATCACTTCTGTGTCACCCTTATTTGCCTGGCAGAGGCCATGTGTATGTTTGGAATGACCCAGAAGTAACCCAGGGAGAAATTATTAAATAAGATCCTGTCAGCAGGAATCAAAAGAATATCAGAAACCTGTACTGGGTGCCGATTGCCTTCAGATGCTACTTAGAACCATTTGGGCAACCCAACTCCCAGAGTTGACTCTGCTCACCTGCCAGGGTTTCTCCAAGTTTGCTTCACTCTGGTCATGACACTCTGTCTTTGACAATGTCAAGTTAGTTACAATGAAGGCTAGACAGAGCCCATCAAGCTTGAAGACTTAGTACCCAGCAGCTTGGAAAAGAGTCCAGAACATCCATGCTTCAAGAAAGATGGTGCCACCACTGTGTGAAATGTAGTGGCTATGGGATAATTGTCCTGAGGGATAGTTATCCTTTACTTGAAACAGCTTCCCCATTCTTGGAGCACAGTGACTGCAAGGTCAAAAATCACCTTCCCACAAAAATAATTAAGAGAAAAATAGTTGCACAAAGTCGTGTGGGCACATTTTTGACCAGCATGTAATATCCAGCAAGTAGGAATACTTGTGCTACATATATTGAGTGATTCGGGGTATTTCTCTTAGTGTTTCATTCAAGGAATAGAATATTTGAAATCCAACAAAGCCTTAAGAACCACAAATTCTTCGGCAAAATGTTCAAGAAAACCAATCAAATTTGTGGAGTGGGTGGAAAGGGGGGGGTGGTCAAAATGATTGTTTTACATCACATGGACGAAACAAGCAACCGATTGGCTCTTTGACTGTTAGATCTGCCACGTTAGACACAGAGTTAGATGATCTGGGACTCATAGAAGCTTGGGTTACATGATTCTTCAGAAAAGTAAATGTGACAATAATACATGCAGGACTTTTGGTGCTTGTCTTAGGAAACTGAGCATGCACTATTATATACAGGTCTCAATATCCATGAACGGGAAAGGTACCTTGCACTCATCTACTATGACAGAGTTGTGTGCAGCATAGACACATTGATTAGAGTTGCTTTCCCTATGGTTCTTCATGTCATCATAAATGGACTGAGTCTTGGTCATTTCAATATCTTCATGCACTCGATGCTGGGAGTCAATAGTATCCAGCTCAGACTTGGAGAGGTGATAGACAATCCCAGCCCCAAAGGAGTCACCCACAACATTGACTGAAGTCCTCATCCTGTCCCTGGGAACAAAGAACAAGAATGTTTAGCGAAGAAGCAGTGACATGGTGGTTGAGAGGCCAAGGTCTAGAACCTGGGGCTGAGTTCTGGCTCTACTTTTCCCTTTGCCTGATCTGGGGCAAGTTACTTAATCTTTATGAGCCTTGATTTCCTTGTTGGTCAACCGGAGAGAGCAATCATATCTGTCTCACAAACTTGTGTGACAATCAAATGAGATCATGGACGTAAAGGCCTTAGCAAAATGTCTGATGGATGGTAGAAACCCAATAAACAACAGCAAAGAGAAAGGAGAGAAGGAAGAATTGGAAGACAATAATTCTCAGATCTCGGAATTAGCACCCAAAGCTCCAGACACCGTTAGCTGTGTCCTCTTGATTTCCACTGTTCTTCAAGGACCCCAGCTCACATCCGCTTATTTTGCTTATTAATCCTACCTGTGAATTCTCCCATGATAGAAAATTCATCTCTTCGTAAGGATTGAAATTAACATTGCCTTTCCCTCTGCACCTCAGTCTCCCACCGACACATACATATACACAGGCACAGGCACAGCTGATGGGTGAGAAACCCGGCCACAATTTTCTCCCTGACCAATAAGCACAGTGACTCTGCGTCCTGGAAAAACCAAAATACGTTGTCTTGCTCTCTCTGTTAACCAAGAAAAAAAAAACATTTAAATCTTCCAGAGTGCCTCTTGAATCAGGAAGTGTTAAGAAAAACCCTCCCTCCAATCTTGTTTCCCATGTTCTGATTTAAAAAAAAAAAAAAAAAAAAAAAAGCAGGATGGCCCAGAACCTTCCCTCTCAGAATGTCAGCACCAGGAAAACTAAGTTCTTAAGAGTAAGTGGTGTTCTGTCGTCCACTAGTTCAGATTGGTGTGAAAAGTCCTGCTAACCATGTTTATGAGATACTCAAAGTCTGAAAGAGAAGGGTGCTGGAAACTTTTTTTAAAAGAATTTAAGCAAAAATGCTGCTAAAATCTCTGTCCAGGACACTCTAGCCTTTAATTCAAAAAATATGCGTAAGGACACCAGAATCAGTTCAAGGCAAAGTGAAAGTCTTAATTGGTTCTTAGAACAAAGGCCTAAAATAAATTCTAGTTGCTACCATCCAATCTATTTCTCATTAGAGAAGGAGAATGACGCTGCACCAAGAGGACTGGCTTCCTCGCAAGGAGCTTGTGAGCAGCTATCCTCTGGGTTCAAGTGGGAAGATCCTGCCCATACAAAAGTCAAGATCAGACCCTGACATCAGCTCTCAGGGGCATCTCTCCACCTAAGAATGCTCTTCTCTTCCTTTCCACTCTGGAGAATCTGCCGCAGGGTGGTAAAATCTATACATGAACAAAGACTGGGTCTTTAAGTCATCCACAAAATTAGGCATCTGAGGCAGAGACAGGGTATGAGAAGGCATGCATAATGATGATTCAGAAAAACTATGGGCTCTGGAGACAGCCCGACTTGGATTCGGATGCCACTCTTTTCTTTTACTTGTTGGACAACCCTGACCCTAGTTAACCTTTGTGACCCTTAGTTGCATTAACTATGAGATGGAAATAATAAAAATATCTACCACTTTGGGTTGAAGATTAAATAAGATAGCAATATGCTTAGTACAGTTCCAGACATTTAGCAAGGATTCACAGAACATTAGTTATTACATGAGGTGTACTTTAAATATTACCATTATTCTTATGAAGTTAATTTAAACATATTTTTGGCAGCTCCTAGGTAGAACATCCAAACATGCCTAGTTAAGCTACTATCTCCCCCTGAAAACATCCATAAACATTTGCGGGACATTTCCCATGGTAGCACTCCCAACCAACCAGCTGAGTTATTTGCCCATCATTTAGCTGTGGCCTACTCTGTTGTTTTTCAACTTTACTTTCAATCCCTCCTGGCGTGTGTTCTGAGTCACGCACCCAACATCCTTGGCCAATGGTTAAATTCCAAAGAGCGCTAAAGACGCCAAGAGGAATCCACTGGGTACTCTTTTGTATCACGGCCCAGGAGAATCGACGTCCTTTTCAAGTAGAAGGACCAAAGGTGATGGTGGGGTGATGATGATAGTGGCTGATATATTACATTTAATATGTAGAAGGATATGCTTTCCAGATATTACCTTGTTTAATCCTCACTAAAATGCTATAAGAAGTACTGTTATCCACACTGAGGAAATTGAAACACAGGGGTTTGGAGAGATTAAATGGCTTCCCAAAGTCACACATCCTAGTGAAGTCATAGAACCGAAAAATTTGAGCACAGGACGTGTGCCTCCAGAATGCACTGTCTGCCACATGATGCAAAGCACCTGGGAGCCAGAAAGCTCTGAATCTGAACCTAGTTCGGCCACTTACTAGCCGTGTAACCTGGGTGACTTCCTCTACCAGAATTTTTCTCAGGCAGGCAAAATACCTATTTTATAGCATTTCAAGAAGACAAAACCAGTTCCTGGTCCACAGTTGATATTCATTAAATTCTTGTTCCTTCCCCTTTAGGGAACAGCCATCACTCATACCCCCATTTTATGGGCAAAAGCACAAGACACTGTCCTCAAGGGCTAATGACTTTTTAAGTTTAATAAATCCATTGCCACTCAAATGGATGATACAAATTTACAAACTCTTGTTTCTTCAACTCTTGACTTTCTCTGATACCAAATCTCTACTCTCCAAAGAAGCCACTGAACCAAATTTTTTGACTAGGATATCTGTTCCATACTCTCAAATTTCCTTTTACTTTTTATTTATTTATTTTTTTTTATGGTTTATTTATTTTTGAGACAGAGACAGAACATGAGTGGGGGAAAGCAGAGAGAGAGGGAGACACAGAATCCGGAGCAGGCTCCAGCCTCTGAGCAGTCAGCACAGAACCCAACGCAGGGCTTGAACCCACAAACTGCGAGACCATGACCTGAGCCATACAGGCACCCGTGTCAGGTCTCCTTGAGTTTGAAAATGAACCTGGCCAGAGGAAATAGCTATCAGGCCAGGAATGAATGGAAGACAGGATTGGGCAGAATCAAAGCATACTGATGTTCGACACCAAAATCAAGAAGGAAAGGGCCCTGGACTTAGGGCTGGAAGCTCAACCCAGATCTTTTGACTCTCTTACCTTGAGCAAATCACCTCTCACCTGACCATGAAATATGGAATGGGGCTAATCTGAACCTCACAGAAGATTATGAGGGTTAAATAAAATGAGAGAAATATTTGGAATGCCATAACTACTCATTAAAGACTGCAGGAGCACAAGGGCATCAAAATGGCTACACAGAAATAAGAAGACAACACAGACTCTAATACTTGCTGAGTTCTTTGTTAGCTCATTCATTCATTCATTCATTCAACAGGCGTACAATGAGCATCTTTGTGCAGGGCACTATGTCAAGTGTCCTGGCAACGAAGAACAAGAAATGGCTCTTCCTATGCTCCCTCTTCCTCCAAGAACCCACGCTCTCTTTACGGGCGCTATGGGATTTAGTAGGTAGGACATTTTATCTACACTTGGGCCCCTGCAAAAGCTTGAGTAGAAGCGTGCCAAGTTTGGACCTGTGGATAAGTCTGAGAAAATGAGCTAGAGAGAAGAAATCGATAATGTGAAATCGAGGAGAGAGAAGCACGCAAGACCACTCAGGAGGCAAATGAATGTAATGAGAGGCAGAAGGGAAGAACTGACCAAATCACGTATGGCCTCATCAGCCAAGTTCAGGAGGTCAGGGCTTTGTCCCAAGTGTCACGAGGAGCCACTGAGGAGCAGCAAGGGCACGCTTGCCCCCGTACAAAGACTGGTCTGAGGAAGGGCAAGGCTGAGAGAGCAAAACCCACTTGGTGAAGATGTGATGGAAGATGATGAGACAGAATTACAGGACCTGAGGACTGATTGGTCATAGAGAATAAACAAGAAAAGAGTCAAGGATTCCTCTCCGGTATCGGGTTTGGGCAGCTGGCGTTGATATGTCTACTGGCAACCAGTAGACCGTACCAACCATGTGTAGGGGACATGACGGGTCGGGGTGAGAAAGGTTCTCGTGTCAGCTTGAACATACTGGGGCTGAGGGTTGGGACCCAGCAAAGGAGAGATGTGCCACAAGTGGTTGGGAATCTGGACTAAAGATCAGGACCGACAACTGGGCTGCAGGTAGTGAATTAGGAGGCGACACCTAGAGAGGCCATGGGGAGATGCCACAGGCGTTTTTGGTTCATTCTTGGAGAGAATGCAGAGTGGGAAGAAAAGACAGTCTTATCTAGAACCCTGAGAGTGACCAACACTTAAGGAGTGGGCAAAGGAATAAGAGTCCGCCAAGGTGGAAGAAAACTTAGAAGCGTTTGAGGGAAGCATGTTGCAAAAGTAAGGGTGTGATGGACAATTCCAATGACTGCCTGGAGATCAGGTAAGAGAAGAAAAAGAAGCGCCCCTTGGTTTTAGCAACAAAGAGGCCATCACTGCCAGGGCAGTTGCAAGCCAGAGGCAGAGACAGAAGCCAGCTCGCCACGGGTAGAAAAGTGAATGAGAACTGAGTAAGTAGTGATATTATTTATAATCGTCTTATTCAAGACGATTGACTGAGAAGGTAAAGAGAGCGAGGGGAAGATGGTGGGAGACGGGAGATAGGATTTTTTTGGTTTGCCATTGAGGCCACCAGGGGGGATGTCTGACCAACTCTGGGGAAGTCCAAGTGTGGCCAAAAACGGGATATGGGAGTTTATGGTTCACATATGGAAAATTTCTCCACAAGCAAATGCTTTCATTTTGCCTCACAACCAGCCTTGACTGTTCAGGAAACCCTGCTGACCTCAGGAGCTTCAAGGCTACTTGGTAAAAAGAATTTCAGAGTGCCTGATGCTGTCCTTGAGTCTGGACACTCTGTGTCAGACCTGTGAAAAGGGGACAGAGGGGAGATCCGAACTCGCGTGCCTGGGTGGCTCAGTCGGTTGAGCGTCCGACTTTGGCTCAGGTCATGATCTCACAGTCTGTGAGTTCGAGCCCCGCATCAGGCT